TTGATCATCATGTAACATAATCCCACAGTATTTCGGACTCGGCAGGACGTCGGCTTTTGGATGTACTTCCATCTGACCTCCCACAGAAACCACACTTGGAAAAAAGTGACTACTTAAGTAGCGTGCATTATTCATAGTGATTTTCGATGGTCTTATAAATTCAAACATATTTTGTAGAAAACATGCACAAAAATATGTTTTTTGGTCATTTGATAGAAAATCCCATTGCCTTCACATTTTATGCCCGAAAAAGTGTAAATCTAGGTTTTGAAAAGTTCCCCAATTCTCGAATGATCTTGAGCCTGATCAGCCGTTACATTAATGTTTGGCAATTTGAGTCAGCATGCTGCATGCGCTTTGCGTAGGAAAAATCATACATGATTCTATGCTCTTAAGAAGATACTGCGTAGAGTTCATAAATTTTTGCGCTGGATACGGGCTGTGTTGTATACTTCAAGAGAAACACTGGCAAACGGCACGTGCGGTGCTGTATATATGGACATCGCAAAGTCCTAAAAACCTCATAATTATACACACTTTTAAAACCAAGACAATCTTCCTTTGGGCGTAAAATATAAAGAAAATATAGTTTTCTACTACACAAGAAAAATAGAGCATATTTTTATATATCTTCTATAAAATATATTTGGAACTATAAGACCAGCGAAAATCAATTTTAAAAAATGTCTGCCTTTTAAGTAGTCATATTTTACCGAGTATGGTTTCCACGAAGGTTTAAAAAAAGTGCAGTCAAAAGACGGCATCCTGGCAAGTCCGGAATACTATAGGACTATGCTACATGATTATTACTTTGAAAACGCCACCTTGTTAACTCTTTTTAGTCGAAAACGCATTTCATAATTTCGACCAAAATTTTATGAGGTCGATCACTCACTGTATGTCAGAATTACAACATAAGAAACTTATCTTTTTCTCGGACCTGTCAGGAGTGTAGAAGTCGAGCAACAGCACCTGGACCACTACCTCTCTCGCTGAAATGTTCGCACCCGATGCTCAATTCGCCTTTCCACAAGCGAACCTATGACCCATGTGCACCGCATTTTATACATTTACCCTAACTACTCTCCAGATTTTAGTTGAGGACCGTTCGGAATAATGTGGTAAGGGCCTCCAGCTAAATTTGACCATCAAGAACCACAGTAGATGCCTCTAAATGTCCAGTTATATTTCGCATGCATAAAAATATTTAGTCTTTTGCTCATTTGGTAGATAATTACGTCTTTTTCCAATTTTATACTCGAAGAGGGGACATAATTCGGTTTTAAAATTTTTCTTATTTTCGAATAATTTTGAACCCGCTCTGCCGTCACAACTGTATTCGGATTTCCAAACTACAGGCCATGCACTTTCCGTGTACGGCAAACCATACATTTCTCTACGATTTTAGGAGAAGACCATGGGGGTTCCTAAAATTCAGCATTGGATTTGGTCCACATCGTTAACTTTACAAGCTACATTGGTAAATGCAGAGACATGACGTTTTATGAACGGTCATTTCATAATATTAAAAAGACTCACAGTTAAAAACATTTTTGAAACCGAATTGTGGTCTTCCTTTGAGTATATAAGTGAAAGTCGTAATTTTCTACCGAATGAGCGAAAGCATGAATATTTTATACATGTTTTCCACGAAATATAGCTGGACTTTTAGGGGCAGAGAGATTTCACTTGAGATGAAACAAGACTTCTAAGTTTTGCAGCGCAATATGGCCTCCCATATGGCCAGTGCTTAATGTAATGCAACCAGTTGCACTTCGGTTAGGCTTCGGAGAGTTAGTGATAGGTTTATATTGTAAGTTTTGAAAGTAAGGCCAGCAGTGTTAGGGTAAGTATAGGTACTAAGATGTGAATTAAAACAAGGGAATAGGACTCCCTGGAGTGAAGTTTAAGGCCGTCCACAGTACCGGCGGAGATCCATATTCTCATGACCGACTCCCTTCAAAGGAAATATCAAATGGCATTGCTGGAAACTTGATAGCAGTGCTGACTGGAGAACGGATATCATTGCAATATACTAACATGTGCTGCGTCTGCGAAAATAGTCATTACAGAACACCGTACTTGTCCCCACTTTCAAATTCAAGTCTTTGCTGCAAACTCAAAAAATGCCGAATTGGACACCCGTGAGAGTCTTTGCCATGCGTGCTAATTTTCCATGGATTGCGAATGAGCCTTCGCACAAATTCTACCGTACGGAACCAATCAAATCTACTGGCACCTGAAGGAATGAACTAGAGGCTGACAGGAATGCGAGAGGAAGCAAATATGGGAGTCCCCGGGCACAATTGTAGGGAGGATTAAATTCGCGATAAATGGAACAGTAGGTGCATCAGCCTGAATTAGAGAGCAGGTGCAGGAGCCCATCATCAGAGCCTATCAGCGTACAGCAACATGTGAACAATTTATAATTTCATACAACATGGGAGGCGGTGTCCGCGAATGGGCTGGGGGGGGGGGGTCTATGCTGCCTAACACAGAGCGGTCTCATGGCGGGGTTACAGTCTGTGTCATTGGCTAGGAGAATTGGGCTTCACCACTTGGCCGTATGAGGGTAGCACATGATAGCAGGCTGGGAATGAGGTATTTTAACGTCCCTTGAACTGAAGAGAGTTGTTTGAATGATGTGACCTGTATGCCCAGTGGGAGCGCAAACACATCTACCGGCAGGGGACCAGGTGCCAAAGAACTGCCAGCGCACACCAGCCTGCGAGGACCACGGTTTGCTAGCATACCAGACGTACACAGTCTATGCATCCAGCAACAACACAGTTCCTTTACTGCTGACTGACCTACAGCAAAAGATATACCAGCTACGAGTCTGACTGAATTTAAGAGATAAAATGATTTAATACAAGTTTCCCATTCGGCCGAAAGAGTCATCTCCAGCTAAATGGAAGGTTCAAGTCGCATTCTTCTTATGCGGTCAAGAAAACATTCGTTAGAATGAGACAGACATTTTCCTGAACGCGTTATAGGAAGAGTGTCACTCCGACATGAATTGAATTATATAACCTCACGTAGTTATTTTGCTTTTTTTGAAAGTGCCGATGACGTCAGTCGATCCGATCTGGGTTAACAACGTCTCCAGGATCCTGACGGAAAACTGTATCGCCAGAGGTCTGATGGGCTACTTCACAATTGACTTTGTGACCTTCTTCCACGAGGAGTCTGTGCGTTTCCTGCTTTGTTTTTCCTTATTTTTTTTCCTTTCGGGATAATTTTTTGGGTTGAGGCTAACCATCAGCTTGCATGCAGGGTGAGCAACTACTCTGGATAACGGGCATTCGCCCGGGCTACCCTGCAAACCTGGCTATGTTCCAGTTGGTCAGAATGCTTGCGGATGCTGACTTTGCGATCGACGCGCAGACTGGAGCGCACCAACTCCTTGCGACTCCGATCTCCAGGTCTCCAGCTATCGGCAATTTAAATCTACCACAGGTGAGCCAGCATGTCAGACTTAAAATCGTCTGAACAGTTCACGTTTTTGAGGACGATTTTCTTAGGTCATTACTGATGGTATAAGGAGAGGGCACTGAGGTTAGTTAGTTCATAGGTAGTACGCACCCACACTCAAGAAAAACTGGTCGAAACCTTTAGTCGTGATTCTCCTCCATTAACCTAAATTATTACCTTTGGGCACTGAAATGAACACCCTCGTATTATAGTTGGCCTTCTGCGAAATTCCATGTGGGGTGTGGGTGCTCAAACTTTCAACTCCACTGACATTTAATTCAGGGACGTTCCTAAATACAGGGTTGATTATTTTCGTACCACTAAAGTCATTTGTAATCACTGGGGCTATCTTACAGGTCGTGGTTCATTCGACGGGACCCAGCCTTTTAGTTAAGTTTGACGAGGCCGACAGTCTCGCACGAGGCGCCAACCGTGTGAGCCACGAGCTGCCTGAGTCCTGGTTCGCCGACCCAATGACTTCCCGCCTTTAAATTCTGTGCTAAAACCTTGTCTGGACAAAACGCTGCACCATGCATCAGTTGTTTTTTTTAGCCTGCCAGACAATGGGTGATAGGATTATGCGCAACGCAAGGACCACGTGTCGCGGGAGTCACATGCATACAAACAAACAAACACACACACACACACACACAGACACACACACACGGCAGTTTGACCGTCGATTTCGACGATGTCCACTGTGTGCCCCACAACAGATGGTGGGAGCAGGGACGGTGACTTGCGCAGGGAGTTTATAGTGTCAGTAGACTTGCGCTGCGTCTACCACACTCTCTCCTTCTCTCCCGCCTGAGTCCGGTGTCAAGGCAGAGTCAAGAAGACCGGAGACGAGGGGGGCCGCAGGTGGATGGCTTGGATGCATCCTCGCTTTGGCGCTTCACTCTGAACCCCCCCCCCCCCC